CTCTCTCTCTCTCTCTCTCTCTCTCTCTCTCTCTCTCTCTCTCTCTCTCTCGACTTCCAGCTGAATGACTTCACAATCAGCTGCTTTATTATCGTGTACTGATTATCTGGATTAGTTACAACTTGTCAGTATATTTCTGTTTTTTGTGATACTGCACATCTGTATTTATCGGGGGCTATTGGTGCACCGTTGGGTTACTTATCCATTACGTGAATAACGAGAACTGTAAACATTTGTGAGATAACTGAGGAGTAAAAATATATTGTTTATAGGTACTGTATAAATCAAGCTAACTGTTCGGAGCTGAAACACAACGTTTTACAGAAGCGTTTCCTATACACTGTGAAAACTGACCGTAGCTTGACCCTTGGGGTAAGACAAGGGCCTTAGAATTCTATTTATAACATTCTTGAGGTAGGGACTGAGACGGTGGTGTGTCCACAAGATGACATCAGACACGCTCAGCAAAGATAGGGGACACACAGCGAGCCCTGTGCAGATGCGACCAAAGGCGTTAAAATACAAGGACAGCGGGCTAGATTATAGAAGGACCATTACGCTGGGTTGAAATAAATGACGTCGGTGATCTAGTGGTAGGCTGTTGGGACCGCAACCAATAGGTCGTAGGTACGAACCCCATCAGGAGCCTGAGATTGTATTCTTGGGAAAGACACTTTACACGAACTGTCATCACTTCACCCAGGTGGAAGTTACTCGGATTTTAAATTAGTAAACAAACTTAACTTACTACCCGTTACGCCATCTGGCTTTTAGGGCAGCAACAAAGGATCTCCAGCTCTGTCTGTTTTGGGCCATCTTGGTTAACGTCCCCCACGACTGGTTCCAGGACTTCATTTTAGACTCTACTATGTGTCTCAAGGTTACTTTGGATTTACCCCTCTTGCGATGTTCCTTCTGGTGTCCAGTGGAGGGCAGTCTTTACAATAGAGTCTGGTTCTCTTCTCAGAACATGCCCAATCCATCTCCATCTTCTCCTTGTTATTATGGTGGTCATGTCCTCTTGCTTACATTTCCGTAAAAGATCTGCATTGGAAATCTTGTCGGCCAGAAGATTCGGAAGATTTGGCGTAAGCTGGTTGTATGAAAAGAAGATAGCCTAGCACGATCACGATCAGTCATCCTCCAGCATTCAGATCCATGTAGGCGTGTGGATAGTACACAGCTGTTATACAGCTTTAATTTGGTCTGTATAGTGAACTGTCCTGACTTCCAGAAGTTTACCATGCTTCTGTGTACAGATCTTTCCTTGCCAAGTCTGTTCATGATGTCCTCCTTTGTGCCGCCGTCAGTTTTAATTATGCTGCTTAAGTAGGTAAATTTGTCTGTTATAGGAGAGGTCTGCATTGTTCACCCTAATCAGCGTTGGGGAGCCTTCTTTCCGTGTCTTCGCTTCTGTCTTCTTCTGGCTTATTCTTAACCCAATCTGGCGTCCGTATTTGTGGAGTTGGTTTGTTTTTCCTGCATTTGCTTGTTGGTATGGGAGAGAAGTGCAAGATCGTCGACAAAATCAAGATCCTCGAGGGTGGAGAAGAAGGTCCACCTTATGCCTCTTGATGTATCCTCTGTTGTTTTCCTAATGACCCAGTCAATGGCCAGGTTGAACAGAATTGCTGCCATGTTGCATCCTTGTCTAACTCCCGTCTTTACCCCAAAAGCAGTAGTACTGTTTTCATCGACGCACTTGACGTTTTGGTAGAAGCTCTTGATGACCCAAAGTAAACAAACAAAGAGCGTTTAAACTTCTGCGAAGTAAGCCAAAGTTTTTGATCATGGGTACGTGCGTCTCCTTTTCACATTACAGGGATGTTTCCAGTCAACAATAAAACCCTACGAGGTAATCCGGGTGACAGACGCATCTATTAATTATCCAAATATGGACTTATCGGCTTCCCTTATTATAAAAAAAAGAAAGAAAAGCAGTCCGAGTTAAACAGACCGACCGGGAAGCGTTACACAATACCACTATGCTATTCCAGAGCACAGGTAGAAAGAAAGCTTGTAGCTATAAGGCAAGACGTACAATACACGTTCCTTTACATCGCTTTTTTTCACTGATTCTTTTAGCAAGGACAGAAACAAAGAAGAGGAAGTAAACCGAGTATGTCTGACCAGGCCGGTGTTTCTTTGATACTGGACAATGGCTCCGGAGTGTGCAGGGCTGGTTTTGCTGGAGACGACGCTCCTAGAGTTGTTTTCGACACCATTGTCGGGCAGCGCGTGCATGCGGTTTGTATTATTTTGATTTAATCTTATAGGATATCAAAATGTGCTTCTTTCTACAACGCTGCAAATTTCTGGACAGTTCTATTCTTGCTGCTACTGAAGTTCTCATGCATGATGTGATGTATATTATAATATGATGGATGCAATATCTGTATTTTCATTGTTATTTTCCTTCTTCTTTTCGAATGTGTTTTTTGCGACTTCTATCAGATATAGAAACCGGCGTCTGTGGTGTAATGGTTGCCCTGTTCACCAGTGTTGTATACTAAAGACGTGAGTTTGAGTCCTGCCTGGAGAAGTTTATTTTAGCCATTAGCTCCGCTGAGGTGTTGAATGCCTCTTAAGTCTTGTTTTTTTTCTGACAGTGTCGAACTAGACGGTAACCTTAAAATCTAGTTTGTGTCAGTTGGTGTGTGTGTGTGTGTGTGTGTGTGTGTGTGT